TGTTTTACCCTCAATGCGGAGCTTGGTCTTGTTATTGGGGGGATTTATTACCGACAACTAGAGACTGCTGGATGGAATTATTAGCCACTTGGGAGATATATGCGTTAGGCTGCTATTGGTGATTCGTGAGTTTGGAGCTCGTGGAGTGAAGTGCCCGTATGGATCCCGTTCGTGAGTTTGCAGTGTTCCCTTGCTTGCGGTTCGCATGAGTGTACTGGATATGCATGCAGCCTATGCTATTGCGAGAGGGGAGGATTCACTAAACGGCAGTTTGTGCATTTCATGCTGAGGGTACCGTAACACATAGTAACATTAAAAGTAAAGGAACAATCACCTGAAGTTACATGTAAAGATAATCTTGCAGTGGTTGGGCCTTTAGGGGGGGGTGGATAGTGGTACAATGTAATATTTCAATGCCTAAAACTAACCTTCCCTCTGAATTTGCAGTTTGGAAATATCCAGGAGGAAGTGACTTACATAAGAGTACAAGTATATTTTGGGCCAATACCACAAAGGAAGGGAGGATAAAGATGCTGCTCGAAAGAAATTTTACGGATTACGTAATACAGTTGACCAGCAATTAACATAAGAATTATAAATTCTCAGGAGTGTCCAACTACCACCCTGTGGCCAGAGCATGGCCTTTTCTTACAACTAACACAAACTGTTGTGTATACTGATGTATCTAATGTAACATTACCATTATTGTTAAATTTTTCATTATTTAATATACCAGAGAGTTGCCCAGAGATGATGAAAGAATGGTTTAAAAATGTATTTCAAGCACATATTAATCTATTCTGGGATGCAACACAGGGGCTCAAGTTTAGAGAGAGAGAAAAAAGGGATCTGGGTACTGATATAATCTCAGGATTCAGTTTGGGAACATCAGTCTGGAATAGGGCAGACATAGAGAGTCTTAACTCATGAGAGCAAAATTATGTTAATGGGTTGCAGCAAATTCTGCTTAAAGAGGGACGAATGGATTTTAACACTCCAGCTGAAACTGATGTCGCGATACAGAACATTCACACAGTTGCTGCAGATTTGCAGTGGATTAATATATCTGTGAATGCTCTCAGAGAATCAGTTAATAACAATAATGTATCTAAAGCTATGGTATGTGGTATAGTTGGAAATTTACTAGACGAACATCTAAATGTAGACCTCCAAGAAATAAAACGAGGGGAATGGCCCAGAATAATCAATTCTACCCTAGTCTTTGATCTGGTTAGGGAATATGGCATATATTGTCAGAATGTAGTCCTTTCCAAAATTAAAGGTCTGCAGAGTTGGTGCAATAAGTGCAAATTAGGAAAAAAGCTAATTCCATTAATAATTGACATTCTAGTTTGGACAGGACAGCCTGTACCTGTTTATAAGATGACTATGTTTGGTGAGTTGGAAGTGGCTAATCGCACTAATGTTTTAAAGCAATTCCTTCCACAAACTCGCTTAGTAATAAAAGAAGACCAGTTCTGGAAAGTTACCAACCCCAGTTGCTGTGACAGACGTGGTAATGCTTGGCTTTATTCCTGTGTACTAGAACCACTAGTCCAGGCAGATGGGTGCATGGTGGAAAACTCAGGGAGCTGCCCTGTTCACCTTCACAAACCCATAAATGGTTGGAAAAGAGTGGTGCACGGACAGGGTCCCACGATCTGCGCACTGGGAGTATCTTCAGTTCTGTGGCAGCAAACTATACAATGTAGGGTACCCCCAACAGGATGGTGTGTTAATATTACATATGGCTCCATGAAAGTGAGCAAGGAGGTTATAAGAGCCAATATCCAACTCACACAAAGACCTATGGACGTGGTACAGGAAGATCTAGGAAATTGGAATAAAATGGTTCTCCCTCACTTTTTAAGAAAATCCCACCACTTAATGAAGATTTGGATAAATTGTGTAAAAGAAATAATCGAAGGGTTGTGCAATTGCAAGAGCTGGTGAAGGAAAATGTAGCAAGCCTTAATGATTTAACAAATAGTTTTCAAGAGCCCTGGTGGAGCATACCCTACAATACTTACACACACCCAGGATTAAGAACTGCTTCTGTAGTATTTGTTTGTCTACAATTTGTTTTACTCTCCTCTCTATTCATTTTATATTGCTTTTGGAGGAAATAATGAAAAAAAAATCCATACAAAGCAGGAAAAAATTAGAGCTCACATCCATTTTAGGGATATAAAATATATGTGTGGGTTCATGTCTTACCTTGATTTTTTTTTTTTTTTTTTATATACAGAAATCAGAGTGGGTGGCGGGGTTGTATGTGAATAATCTCCTTATTAGATCTTATTCAAGTGGGGGAGTGTTGGGGAAAATATTATGATTATATATATATCTGTTTAATATGTGCTTGATTAAGTCTGTGTGTATGGGAGATCAGGAATTATCTTCAAAGGGAGTTTCTGTTTAGATAGTTGGAAAAAGATCACATTTACATATCAGCTAGTCTTCAAAGGAGTAAAACACACCTTAGGTTAGAGGCAAAGGGATAGCTAGGAGAGTTAAGACTTAAATAAAATAACAGGATAGACAACACTTTGGGCCTTGGGAAAGTAAATCACATTTACATATCAATTGAGCTCAGGAATTTGCTATTTACAACATGGGAACCAATTGCTTTAAAAATAGAAGATACTGACATCACATTAGATTAAATTTGGTAAGACACATGCCGCACATAACATCTCACAGCACATACACAATGTAGCAGATATTATTATATTTTAGATGGAATGTGTGAGTGTTATAAATGTATTGTAACTCTGTTATACTATAACTGTAACATTCTTCTTTTGTAATATTTAACTGGGCAGATTCTAAGTAAAGATTTCTCTCTGGTAAGAACTATGGTGTTGGCTGTTTATTTATAATATCGGGTAGAATACCATAGTAGTTCTAGTCATATATTTATCTGGACAAGGGGATAAAGATATATGTTAGTTCTTGGAATATGTGACAGGTTGGAATATGTGACAGGGATATTACATTCACTATTAATACACAACGCAGAGTGGATTTCTCTCAAAAGGATACCAATTGGAAGTATTGGTGGTGAGAGAAGAATTATACAACATTAAGGTCTATGATGTAAATCATAGGAAGAAGCGAGAACCATTAAATATAGGTAATTGGGAAGATGATGAATGGCCACCCCAGCAAATTATTAATTACTATGGACCTGCTACCTGGGCTGCAAATTTGTGATTTCTGTGGGAAAAGCAAGTCTTATGGCTTGACTGGTGTGCAGATTTTTGGTTAACATTGTATTGACTATGAACAAAATTATAAACGCAACACATCTGTTTTTGCCCCCATTTTTCATGAGCTGAACTCAAAGATCTAAGACTTTTTCTATGTACACAAAAGGCCTATTTCTCTTAAATATTGTTCATAAATCTGTCTAAATCTGTTAGTGAGCACTTCTCCTTTGCCGAGATAATCCCTCCACCTCACAGTTGCGGCATTTTAAGATGCTGATTCGACAACATGATTATTGCACAGGTGTGCCTTAGGCTGGCCACAATAAAAGGCCACTCTAAAAGGTTCAGTTTTATCACACAGCACAATGCCACAGATGTTGCAAGTTTTAAAGGAGCGTGCAATTGGCATGCTGACTACAGCAACGTCCACCAGAGCTGTTGCCCGTGAATTGAATGTTCATTTCTCTACCATAAGCCGTCTCCAAAGGCATTTCAGATAATTTGGCAGTACATCTATCCAGCCTCACAAACCACGTGTAACCACAACAACCCAGGATACAGCATCTTCACCTCCAAGATCGTCTGAAACCAGCCACCCGGACAGCTGCTGCAACAATCGGTTTGCATAACCAAAGAATTTCTGCACAAACTCAGGGAAGCTCATCTGCATGCTCATCGTCCTCATCAGGGTCTCGACATGACTGCAGTTCGTCGTCATAACTGACTTGAGTGGGCAAATGGTCACATTCGATGGCGTCTGGAACTTTGGAAAGGAGTTCTCTTCACAGGTGAATCCCGTTTTTCACTGTACAGGGCAAATGGCAGACAGCGTGTATGGTGTTGTGTGGTTGAGCGGTTTGCTGATGTCAACATTGTGGATTGAGTGGCCCATGGTGGTGGTGGGGTTATGGTATGGTTAGGCGTATGTTTTGGACAATGAACACAGGTGCATTTTATTGATGGCATTTTGAATGCACAGAGATACCATGACGAGATCCTGAGGCCCATTGTTGTGCCATTCATCCACGACCATCACTTCATGTTGCAGCATGATAATGCATGGCCCCATGTTGCAAGAATCTGTACACAATTCCTGGAAGCTGAAAACATCCCAGTTCTTGCATGGCCAGCATACTTACCGGACATGTCACCCATTGAGCATGTTTGGGATGCTCTGGATCGGCGTATATGACAGCGTGTTCCAGGTCCTGCCAATATCCAGCAACTTTGCACAGCCATTGAAGAGAAGTGGACCAACATTCTACAGGCCACAATCAACAACCTGATCAACTCTGTGTGAAGGAGATGTGTTGTACTGCGTGAGGCAAATGGTGGTCATACCAGATACTGACTGGATTTCAGACCCCCCCCCCTCCCCGGTTTCCCCCAATACAGTAAAAGTGCAAATTTTAGAGTGGCCTTTTATTGTGGCCAGCCTAAGGCACACCTGTGCGATAATCATGCTGTTTAATCAGCATCTTGATATGCCACACCTGTGAGATAGATGGATTATCTTGGCAAAGGAGAAGTGCTCACTAACACAGATTTAGACAGATTTGTGAACAATATTTGAGAGAAATAGGCCAGGATAGTGTGTAGGCTGGATTTTGTGTACATAGAAAAAGTCTTAGATCTTTGAGTTCAGCTCATGAAAAATGGGGGCAAAAACAGAAGTGTTGCATTTATAATTTTGTTCAATGTATATATAAAAAGCAGAAAAAAGCTTGCACTCCTACTCACAGTCTTTAACACCCGGTGCTTGATGGCAATAGAAATGTATACAAAGTAGAAATTTATCCGCACTCCAGGGAGTCTTTTTTTTTTCCAAGAATCCCTGGATTGCTGATAAATTTCTAATATATATATATTTAATTTTTTCAAATCATGAAGGACTTTGCTACTATTCAACTTAAGGGTGTGGTTTGGATCATATGATAGGAAGCACAGTCCCATATTCTTATTTAGTTTTACTTATGTAGAGGTTTTTTGTTTTTTTTTACCTATAGGCCTACTGCTACCCCTACACAGGGCTGGAGCTACCATAACGCAGCAGAGGCAGCCGCCTTAGAGGGCAAATATCCGGATGACCGGCAAGAGGGAGGCCCTCAGTGCTCCTCTCCACCCAGTAATTTCCTGTAGCGTGGCCGAGCGCCAGTACCTCAGCTGCCTAGTGCAGGAGATGGGCATCAGCGAGGGAGCTCTGCTCTATGTCCGCATTTCTTGTATAGCTCCCTGGCGCGCCCTGTAGAGGTCCTCAGAGCCGGAATGTGACGCCATATTCTGACTCCCAGGCACCACTGTGGGGCACGCAAAGCAGACATAGAGGAAATGCGGACATAGAGCAGAGCTCCCTCAGAGGCAGCCCACTGGAACCCAGTACAACAGACAGTAAAGAGAGGGAGCTCAACTCCTCCACAACACTGTCCCCTCCCACCATAGCCCCAGTCCTCCAGACTGCTGATGCCCCCAATACTGTCCCTACCCCCACCATAATCCCTGTCCCCCACAATGCTGCCCTGCTGCTCCCAATACTGTCCCTACCCCCCACAATGCTGCCCCTAGTACTGTTCCTATACCCCACCATAATCCCAGTCCGCCACAATGCTGTTGTGTTGCCCCCCAATACTGTCCCTACCCATCACAATGCTGCCCTGCTGCCCCAAATACTGCCCCTATCCTCCCACCATAAACCCAATCCCCCACAATGCTGCCCTGCTGCTCCCAATACTGTCTTTACCCCCCACAATGGTTCCCCCAGTACTGTTCCTATACCCCACCATAACACCAGTCCCCCACAATGCTGCCCTGCTTTCCCCAATACTGTCCCTACCCCCACCATAATCCAAGTCCCCACATTGCTGCCCTACTGCCCTCAATACTGTTCCTACCCCCCATCATAACCCCAGGTGCCCACAATGCTGCCCTGCTGCCCACCCCAATGCTTTCCCTACCCCCCATCATAACCCCAGTCCCCACAATGCTGCCCTGTTGCCCCTATTACTTTCCATACCCCCCAACATAGCCCAAGTCCCCCACAATGCTGCCCTACCTCCCCACTATGCTGCCCCTGTCCTCTTAATACTATACTTATCCTCCACAATAGTCCCAGTCCCCCACAATACTGTTCCTATTCACCCCACCATAGCCCCAGTTCCCCACAATACTGCCTCTACCCCCACTAATGCACCTAACCACACTATACTGCCCCTATCTCAACACATTAAAGCCCCACTATCCAAAATACTGTTGCTAACACTACCACTAATGCCCCTATCCCCAACACTAAAGAATTAATCTCCCACATACAGACCCTGTCCTCATCTCAAAAAAGCCCCAGTCCCCCACAATGCTACCCTGCTGCTCCCAATACTGTCTTTACCCCCCACAATGCTTCCCCCCAGTACTGGTCCTACACCCCACCATAACACCAGCCCCCCACAATGCTGCCCTGCTTCCCCCAATACTGTCCTACCCCCGACCATAATCCAAGTCCCCCACATTGCTGCCCAACACCCCCCATCATAACCCCAGGTGCCCACAATGCTGGCATGCTGCCCCCCCAATACTTTCTCTACCCCCCACCATAACCCCAGCTGTGTGGGGTGTAGGGGTGCTTTGTGGGGTTGGGGTGCTGTGCTGTGGGTGTAGGGGTGCTGTGTGGGGGTACGGGTGCCGTGTAGGGGTAAGGGTGCTGTGGGGGTAGGGGTGCTGTGTGGGGGTAGGGGTGCTGTTTAGGGGTAGGGGTAGGGGTGCTGTGTAGGGGTAAGTGTGCTGTGGGGATAGGGGTGCTGTGCTGTGTGGGTAGAGGTGCAGTGGGGTTAGGGGTGCTGTGCTGTGGGGGTAGGGGTGCTGTAGGGGTAGGGGTGCTGTGCTGTGGGGGTAGGGGTGCTCTGTGGGGGTAGGGGTGCTGTGGGGATAGGGGTGCTGTGCTGTGGGGTAGTGGTGCTGTGGGGATAGGGGTGCTGTGCTGTGGGGGTAGGGGTGCTGTGGGGATAGAGTACACACACAGACTGCCGAGTACATAAATACAGTCTGCTGAATACATACACACAGACTGCTAAATACATACACACAGACTACTGAATATATACACACACACACACAGACTGCTGAATACACACACTGTTGAGTACACACAGACTGCTGAATACATACACACACACACAGACTGCTGAATACACACAGACTGCTGAGTACACACACACACAGACTGCTGAATACACACACAGACTTCTGAATACACACACACAAACTGCTGAATGCACCCACAAAGACTGCTGAGTACACACAGACTGCTGAATAGACACACTGCTGAGTACACACACGGACTGCTGAATACACACACAGACTTCTGAATACACACACACAAACTGCTGAATGCACCCACAAAGACTGCTGAGTACACACAGACTGCTGAATAGACACACTGCTGAGTACACACACGGACTGCTGAATACATACACACACGACTTCTAAATACACACACACACACACACACTGCATTGAGGGGTGCAGTGTATGTGTTTGTGTGTAAGGGTGTGGAGTGCTGTGCATGTGTCTGAGGGGTGCTGTGTGTGTCTGTCTGAGGGGTGCTGTGTGTGTGTGGGGTGCAGTGTGTGTGTGTGGGGGGGGGGTGCAGTGTGTGTGTGGGTGCAGTGTGTGTGTGGGTGCAGTGTGTGTGGGGGTGCAGTGTGTGTGGGGGTGTTGTGTGTGTGGGGGTGTTGTGTGTGCGGGGTAGGGGTGCTGTGTGTGTGGCGGGTAGGGGTGCTGTGTGTGTGGGCAGGTAGGGGTGCTGTGTGTATAGTAGGGGTGCTGTGTGTGGGCGGGTAGGGGTGCTGTGTGTGGAGTTGTAGGGGTGATGTCTGTGGGGGGTAGGGGTGCTGTGCTGTGTGAGGGATAGGGGTGCTGTGCTGTGGGGGTAGGCAGCCGTGAAAAATCCCTGGGGAAGAATTTCTGCCCTAACAACTTACCTGCTAGAGTGTTAAGAATATAGTTCGCAGAATAAGTGAAACCGTTTTCCATTTTCAGGGACTACAGTCAGCTACTCAGATTTTATTTCTATACATATATGTAACTCCATAAAAACACAAGGGACTTGCGTACTCAGGGAATGTAACTGAACTCAAATATATCTATATTGTATCTTTGGTGCTAAAATGCACGAAAAATATTACAACAAAATAGGACAGAAATTAGTGTAAAATTGGCTAGCTGAAAAGTGCTGTAAATAAATAATTCCCACTTTTGAAAGTTGTATATGTTCTAGTGACATTCTCTGATATGACATGGGCACCATAAAATTCCAAGAACGAAAACTAAACTGGCATGCCCTGTAACATAACAAAAATATGCAAATCTACAGACACATTTTGGGGGTGGGGTTGCTCTACTGCACATCAGGTTTACAAAATGGGAACATCCTTATTTGGAAGGAAAACACTTTCTGTACCAATGTCAGTGAAATAAAGAGAAATACAATATTATATCCTTGGAAAATACTTGTAATTAGGAGGGAGAAATACAAAAGAAAATAGGCAATTTACTTTCTAGTAATTCTTTGGTGGGAGTTATAATCCTTGTTAAAAAAAAAAATTCTTATTTAAATTTCTACATGCCTACTTGTGTAGTCCATGTAATGATTACTCTTACTTTTCTCATTAATATTGTATTGGTATTTGTATAGTGCCAACGTATTCAGCATGCTTCAATAATGCTTTATATATTTTTTTTTATATACCTTTGAATAAAAAAAGCAAACTGAAAACAAAGCATACAATTTGTGCATTAAATAAGGTTACATATCCAGGGGATAAAATATTGCACACCCACCACTTCCTAATACAGAATCAAATACATATTATTTTTGTATGAATGAGCGATAAACATCTATGTGTTCATCTGCTGTAATCCTCAGGAGAAGAAAATAATGACAAAAATGCACCTATTTCAGTAATACAATTGTTCATCAACAACAGCATATTATATCATTAGACTATTACAATGACATTTACAAATGTAATAAAATGTTAAATATTTATCTTACCAGTCCACCTCCAACAATAGCAATTTTCTGATTGACGGTATTATCCATGTTTTGAAGCACTAGTTCTTTCACTGAGTCACAGTATTAGTCTACCAATTCAATGGAATTGAAGTATAAGAATCACAGACTAGCTGACACAGCACAGAGTAAAGTCTGTGTGTGCTTTTACTAACAAGGAGGAGTATAGAAACATCCAAGCTAATATTAAACCATCTACAGCTTTAGTTCAAAGTAGAGACCAGTATTATGGGTTAATAAACTTATTTTTGTACACTCTTTTTTTTTTTTCTGTCTCATTGTAGAACTACATATAATATGCATATTCCTTAAAATATTTGCATATTATGAAACATGTCTTCCTTTATTACATTCTATATTCTATATCACATCCATTTGTCTATTTTAAAAAAAAAATTAAAAAATTTCCAAATGATTTGATTGGGAATTGGTACTAACATATCCTACTTTAAAAGGACACTATAGTAACTAGAACAACTACAGCTTAATGTAGTTGTCCTGGTGAGAATAGTCAATCCCTGCACACATTTTTTTTATGTAAACACTGCCTTTTCAGAGAAAAGTAAGTTGGTAAGCCAACTAAATGGTGGTTTTAACACTATAAGGTCAGAAATACATGTTTGACCCTATAGTGTTCCTTTAATTAATTAAAGTTTTGGTACATATACTCAGCAATCATAGGTGAAAATCCCAAATAGAACATATAGGCTGTCAGATTTATCAGGCTTCAATTCTTTTCCAGGAAATCTTAATGGCCGCAGTCTGTACTTGGCAATCCAATCAGCACATCACA